GCCATAACATTAAAAAAGACCCCTGATCTTCTTCAGGCACCTTATCCAATCCAGCATGTCAGAAAAATTGATGTTTTGTGCATTATGCTAATAGCTTCAACTATAGAGTCGCCTCCGGAAAGTAGATCATCCAAATAAATGTTGCGACGCAGAATTTCGTCCTCTCTTGGAAACATTATTTGCTCATCCTCTGCAAACCGATTCATTTCCCGAACTGATAAAAACGAGGCGGGCTTCGTTCCATAGGTGACAGTATCCAGCTAAGAAACCTGCAACTCATCCTGGGTGAAATCCTGTCAAAGAATGCACTGCAGAAGCTGAAGTAAAAGATTTGAGAAATGTCTCCAGTAATGGCCTTAACAGAATATGTAAAAACTTTGGCTGAATAACTGAGCCAAACATCAACACGTTTTCAATGAATATCCAGAAGGGGTGACAGCAGATCCATCAAAAGCAACCCTGAGCTTGGTTGTAGAATTGTCTTTCTTTAAAACAAATGGGGGTGACAGGAAGTACTGGCCAGTGACGCTCGCATCAGCAGGGACTGGAGACATGTGACCCAACTCCAAATACTCCTTTATGAAGGCAGCATATTGCTCCTTTAATTGAGGACGGCGACAGAGCTTCCTTTCGAGGGAAAGAAATCGTCGAACGGCTTGGGGGTAAGATTCGACCAGCAACTTAGAACCACATTTTACAGCCGAGCAAAATGTTGCACGAAATGCGCATCGTAATCTAGCTCCTCCTTCTTCCGCTTTTAGCTCCAATAGGCTCGGAGCAGTCGTCGATTTCCCAAAACCGGCGGAGCAGAGAATCCAACTGATCATCCAGCATAGTTGCGACTCCTCCGCAACCTCCCACTCCTTCTTTGGAACATCCTTGTGAACGTAAAATCGAGGGACCTTCTCTGGACATGTGAACCGTCCCCACACACGACCCATACATGTCGAGTTTTCTGAAGTAACGGCAGGCCGGCTGAGAGCTTAATTTGCTCAACAAACGGCAGCTCATAGAAAAGACTGGTTGCGATGAGCATATCGATACGTTATGGCCGAAAAAATCTAGATCAGCCAAAGAAAGATTCCCCGGAATATTGGACCTTTTAGTCTTTATCGCCAATATCAGACATCGCCATGAATGATTTGCACCTCTGGATCTCGTGCACCTTCGATCCAGAATCAAACAAAGCTCGGCATGGAACAAAGACTCCAGCACCTCTACGAACAAGATTGTTAGATGTAGCAAGCAAAGCTACATCTCAAGGTCGTAGCGGTGATATGCTACGACCTTGAGAAATTTGTGAATTAGCAGTGAACGGCAAAAAGGCTATAGGCTCGGCGCACCCGGCTATGGCTGACGTGGGTGGACCAAGCAAAGGTTGGCCACTAGAAGCCTGCGGTTCCAGGAAATGCAGGCTGTGATGTCTCCTTCCACAACTACGACAATTAGCAGATAACAACTCACGCATGTGAAGGCCCGTTTGGAGACACTTCCGACAAAGACCGAGTTACCTAGCCTCACCAAGGCAGATCCCACGGGGCATTGACGGAAATCGGGGGCATGCAGACATTACATGGACCATCCACCGCATAAAGTACCATACAGACAGAGGGAATCGAATTAGTAACAATAAAGGATGATCTACTGTTATTTGCACTTCGACGCTTTCCTGCTCGAGTGCCATTCCCGGGGCGTATGCATCCATGGCCTCGTTCATAGCCTCCAGAGTCCTACATCGCTGCTCCAAAAATTCGGCCATCGAAGGCAAGATTGCAACCTTTTCAGCTTTTCCACCTTACTGAAAAGAGGATTGCTCCCGACGATTGTAGTGAAAATCGAGTAGAACTTAGACCACTCCGAGTATTCACCGCTGAAGGTTGAGAGAGGCAAAGAAGGCAACGCTTAAAAACTTTGACTAAATCGCGGGTGAGGCTGCATGGTGGACATTACGTTGGCCAGGGTGGAGTAGGCAGTAACTCCAGAAGAGCAAATGGTGGTCTCGTGCTCGATTTCGGCATGCATCGTCGCTACGAGCTTCGAAACAGTCTATCGGAGGTCACTTCTGCGAAATGTCCAAATCGTCAAGCTCAACGTGGATGGACTTAAAGTCACTGAACATGGTGACTAACTGGCCACGTCGCATGTGGAGCATCATCCCCCTTGGAAGCAGTCTGAAGAGCTCCTTGGATCCTCTATAAGTTCTGGAGAATACCCAGTGCCTTGTTCTTTCAAGTAGTGCTCTTGTGACTACACCAAAATTTATTATGTTCATTTCCGGATAATGTTTTTAATTTGATGTAAATAATTGCGGCACCAAAATTTTATCGCTCAAAATTTATTTGCTAATTCACTAGGCAAAAACCGAAATATCGTTTATGATTATGTCTTTATGTATAATATATATTATAATTTGTTTATTAGTCTAAATCAGGGGTGCTCAAATTCGTCTTATGGCAGTGCGTTTACTAACACAGACACAAGAAAACGTGTACATTAGTAGCGGCGCTTTAGTGTTGGGGCGCAACTGTGCACTGAGAGAAAAAAAAGCAGTTTTAAATATTTATTTATTTTTTTTTTTTAATATTTGGCTTAAAAAAGATTCAATATTTATATTAATTTTAGTGGTTGATAATTTTAATTGAGCTTCCAGATTATTATTTAGTCCCACGAAATAAATCAAAAGCCAAAGCAGACAGAAGAATAAGTTCCAGTGCATGTGCTCGAGGAAAAAACAAAAACAAAATACACTGCGTTCAGCGAAGCGTGACGACGGATAGAGATGTAATGAAGAAACAAGCAAAATTGTTTTTGTTTCGCATGGTAATCGAAGCCCATATGCACGGTGCTTATGGGCGCACTAGCCATAAGCACAGAGCATCTACAAAAACAAAAGTGCACTCAGTGTATAGGCGTTGAGCACCCCTGGTCTAAATAAACTGTTTGCTTAATATCCACAGATGTGTTGATATGCTGCGTATGACAAATTGTATTCTGCAAATGAACACGTTTACACAGCTTCAATTTTTTTTTAGAAAGTCCCGTTAGGTTTACAGTAAAAACGATTTGATTTGAATTTTGTCCTATGGGCACAAACACTATGGACTGGCGCATTAAAATAAACGAATGAAAGTGAAACATGTAACGTTTACTCTTCAAAGACAAGGATTCCCTCCACTTGAACTAATTGGTATGCAGATCTCCCAAGCGAAAGTCCCGTAAAAAAAGAAGTCGATAGACGACTTACATGGCGTATGCTTAACGAATGCTTAACGAATGCAAAATTCACTGGATCTTAAACTCACGACAGTCACTCCAATATCTACATGATCTTAGTCTACAATTCAGTCCTTTTGGCAATCTGAACGTATGGCGTCCAGCTATGGGGAACGCGAGCAGCAGCAACATCATACAGCGCAAAATTTAAAATCTTGAGATCTATCACTGGGACACTATAGTATGTTAATGTTCGTGTATTTATTTATTACTTTGGCAAATACATTGGCATTTGGCATTACTTTGGCGATTGTGGCGAAGGCGTAGCAGTAGCGGTGGACGTAGCTGTCGAAGTTGAGAGGCTAGTGTGTATATGTGCTGTAGATGGACTCCCACAATATCAATACTCGCGTGAGTTACCGAGTTCGGTCGAGCTAAGGAAAACTTCTGAGGGTTGCCCCAGTACCCCTCTTCTAGAGTTCCAGTTGGGAAAGATAATTTGCTAGGAATCCGACTCGTCGGTGGATCCTGATCTTGATACTTTCTCGGTGGTCTGGGCAGTTGGCTCTGTTGTCTGCCCCTGTGTCGGTGGCGTTTCTTTTTTGAAGATGTATGAGGATTTAGGTCGATCGATGGAAATCTTGTTTTCCTTTGTATGACCTTTGAGCGTAAAATATTTTTCGTGATTTGTTAACACTTCGAACGGACCCTCGTAGTTTGCTTCCTACGGGGTTTTGGCTTAATCCACTCTGACGGAGACGTGCGTCAATGGTTTATATCCGGGTGGAAAAATTCTTGGGGGCCGTCCATATATTGCGTGACGCGTCTGGGGGGGAGGGGGTCCGGGTTAACGTCACGGTTTGTGGTCACGGGGGTCTAACCTCGTGTCATGGTTTGTCACGCAGGGGGGGGAGGGGGTCAAAAAAGTCTGAAATTCGCGTCACGCAATATATGGACGGCTCCTTGCTTGGTGTTTGATGGTGCACTGGCTTAGTGGTTGGTAGCTAAGATAGGGTTTTTTAAAGAGCCTCAGTGAACTCGGACTCGTTTTTTGTGGGCTCGGTGTGAGAAGTCCGCCTGAACCCGTAGTGCAGCGCCATATGCCATTTTGGCTGGGCTCAACCCGATGTCGCTTTTGATTGTTGTTCGTAGGCCTAGTAGGATTCAATCCAGGGAACTGCTCCAGTTGATTACATTAGTTAACATTAGAGAGAGAGAGACTTACATAAAACGTAAGAGGAGTCCAAACTTAACAAGAACTCGAGAGGAGACAATTGATAAAGTCGAAGAACTATGGTCAAATTTCCCTTGAAACACTTAAAAATCTGTTCCAGCACGATTACAAAAGGTAAAGGTAATTTATATTTCATTATTAACATTTTTGGCAAATCACGTTAATTTTCTAACAAATTATGTTATGTCAAAATACATTTGGCCTTCCACTTTAATGAATTTGTATTTCTAGTTTATAAAATGTAATATGAAATGTTATATTTTTGTTGTTTTTTATTGTATTATAACACTATTGTTATAAATAAATTTCATTAATATTTTTTGGGTAAATAAATTAGAGTTTATAACACAAAATGTGAATTTTTATTTATGTCAAAATACTTATGTCCACGATTGTATATAGTATTTTTAAGCGAACATTAAGGCAAGCGTTATGCCACCATGTGTATTCCCGTGCATAGTGATAAAAATAAATCATAGGAGAAGTTTGACATCAAAACTTTAAACAGCAGAAAGGCTTTGTCTTTATCTCCAGCTCATTTAACAATACGCACCTTTTATTTGCAGATTAATTGCCAAGTTTATTTTTGGTTCAGTATTAACTTGACATTCATAGACACCGCTGTCTCGTGCTTGCGCATATTCAATTTTTAAGTCCCAGTCTTCACTACTAGGAGTATGAATTACAGAAAATCGTTGATCACCGGTATATGTATAAATATTAGTTGTTAGAATGTGTAAGTCCCTCTTTCGCATCCACGAAACCTGAAAGAAATAAGCATTATATTTTATTAAAAAAAACGATTAGAAAGCAAACTTTGGGTGGAGCCGAAGTTGATAAACCCTTGGAGTTCAAACCAGATAAACATCGCAAAAATCGTATAAATAAAATCGTATAAATCCTTATGAGAATATCATAATATAATCAATTCATTACAAAAAAAATCTAACAAGGAAGGAAAGCTAACTTCGGGCGGAGCCGAAGTTGATATACCCTTGCAGTTAAAACCTAAGAAAGTTGATATTTCTACCAAAAACCATTTCCGATCGTTCAGTTATATGGCAGCTATAAGATATAGTCGGCCGATTCTAATGAAATTTGGTAGGTTGGTTTAACTGACCAAAAATAGAATATGTACTAAGTTTCAGCTTTCTATCTTCAAAAACACGAATGTTGGGTCAATTTCGATCATTCAGTTATATGGCAGCTATAAGATATAGTCGGCCGATCCTTATAAAATTTGGTGTGTCGTATTATTTTGCCAAAAATAGTACTTCTGTAAAATTTGAACTCTCTTACTCTAAAAACACCAAAGTTATACCATTTCCGATCAATCAGTTATATGGCAGCTATATGATATAGTCGGCCGATCCCGGCCGTTCCGACTTATATACTGCGTGCAAAGGAAGGGTGTGTGCAAAGTTTCAAGACGATAGCTTTAAAACTGAGAGACTAGTTCGCGTAGAAACGGACAGACGGACAGACAGACGGAGAGACGGCCATGCTCATATCAACTCAGGAGGTGATCCTGATCAAGAATATATATACTTTATAGGGTCGGAGATGTCTCCTTCACTGCGTTGCACACTTTTGACCAAAATTATAATACCCTCTGCAAGGGTATAAAAAGAAGAAAGAAAAGCTAACTTCTGGCGGAACCGAAGTTTATTACCCTTGCAGTTAAAACCGGATATATATACCGCAAACATCGAATACAGTTAGCCGATCCTTATGAAAATATCATAATAAAAAAAATTCATTACAATACAAAATCTTGTATTTGTATTGTAATGACAACTCACATGTTTAAAATTTGAGTGTGTGCGTAGCAGAGAAAAACAATGAGAGCAGAGAATTCACTGAACGAAAAAAACGTATTTTTTTATTTCATTTTTCGTTAATTCAAAAGTAGGAATGGGCACTGAAATGTAGTTTTTTTTCTCAGTGGAATCATTTTGATTTTTAAGTTTGGGCTGTCAAATGAGTCAAAATGAGAGCAAATGAGAGAGCTTCTAAAAAAATTGAGAGTGCTCACACTGTGAGCCGGCATCGCTGCGGCAGAATTTCCTATCCTATACACGCGTGCTTTGTAAAATGAGAGTTTGCCCACAACTGCTTTAGAAACATCAAAGTTTTACCACTTCCAATTAATCAGTTATACGGCAGCCATAGGATATGGCACAAATAATAAAACGAAAAGTGAAAACGACAGTAACAGTGTGTTCGGAAGAAAATTCTTTTTGAAAAATCAAAAGCTTAATAGTATAGCTCGCAAATAACTTTTAAGCGATTTCTGGGGTCTTAAGGTAAGTATTGTTCCATGAGTCTTTGAGGAAAAAGTCTGAGAGCAACCGTTGGCTTTGTTCCTATACAAATTTTGCTCTCGCTCAAATGACGAGCAATATTTTCTGTTTCCTTTTGCTCTGTTCTTTTTAGGACCGTTTGATTTTGTGTGACAATTCAAAATGTCTTTTTTGTATGGATGTGTCTATTTAAAAGTTAGTGGGGTTTTTTAACTTTTGCCTTTGTGACATTAGGGTGTGAGGAACAAATAATTAACGAAAAATTAAAATGAAAACGTGTCGTAAAATTAACAAAAAAGAGCATCAATTTTACTTATTTATTTTTAAAATGACTCTTTGTCCAAGGTAAGTGGGATAAAATTAAATGGATATCATTCTACTAATTTAAAAAGACATTTAGTATCAAAACAAGTCGAAATTTTTAATGAGTGTAACAACAAAGAGGTCACTGAAATACAGGATAAAAAAAAAAGAAAAATTGCTTACGAAACAAGTGAAGAATGCATTGTAAATGCATGTAAACAAATTGTATCCACATAGGGAAAGCCATTTTTATTCCTGGACAGCGAGGGGTTCAAAGCCAAAGTTGATCATATTTTTAATTCCCTTGATATGAACTCAATTACTTCAAGAAACATTATGAGTTTCGTGTCTGTTACAGACAAAAAGGAAAGTTGTTATGAATAACAAGAACGGAAAGCTAACTTCGGGCTAAAGTTGTAATAGATAACAAGAACGGAAAGCTGACCTCGAGCTAATATACCCTTGCAGTTAAAACCGGATATATATCGCAAACACCGGATATAATTAGCCGATCCTTTTGATTACATCATAATAAAACCAACTAACTAAAATAAAAAATCTAAAAAAAGTCCCAAGCGTCTATCTTCAAAAATACGAAAGTTGATATTTCTACCAAATACCATTACCGATCGTTCAGTTATATGGCAGCAATAAGATATAGTCGGCCGATCCTAATGAAATTTGGCATGTCGTATTGTTTTGCCAAAAATAGCATTCGTGTAAATTTAAACTCTCTAACTTTAAAAAACACCAAAGTTATACCATTTCCGATCAATCAGTTATATGGCAGCTATAGGATATAGTCGGCCGATCCCGGCCGTTCCGACTTATATACTGCATGCAAAGGAAAGAAGGGTGTGTGTAAAGTTTCGAGTCGATAGCTTTAAAACTGAGAGACAAGTTCGCGTAGAAACGGACAGACAGACAGACGGAGAGACGGACATGCTCATATAAACTCAGGAGGTGATCCTGATCAAGAATATATATACTTTATAGGGTCGGAGATGTCTCCTTTACTGCGTTGCACACTTTTGGACAAAATTACAATACCCTCTGCAAGGAAATGACCCAACTTTCGTGTTTTTGAATATAGAAAGCTTAAACTTAGTACAGATTCTAATTTTGGTCAGTTGATCCAACCTACCAAATTTTTTAATGATCGGCTTACTATATCTTATAGCTGCCATATAACTGAACGATCGGAAATGGTTTTTGGTAGAAATACCAACTTTGGTACTTTTGAAGATAGAAGTTTGGGACTTTTTTTTAGGTTTTAACTGCGAGGTTCGGCTCCGCCCGAAGTTAGCTTTCCTTTCTTGTTTAGATTTTATATTATAATAAATTGGGTAATATTATCATATTCTCATAAGGATCGGCCAACTATATCCGATGTTTGCGATATATATCCGGTTTTAACTGCAAGGGTATATCAACTTCGGCTCCGCCCGAAGTTAGCTTTCCTTTCTTGTTGAAGATGAAACAGAAGGAGAAAACCTGATGGGAACGATTGATTACTGAAGTTGGCTATTATTCATCTAGTACGTCGTGTTGCGCACTCTCTTCAGCTGTGCGTCTATGATGTTATTAAGCTCAATGAGATTACCGAACAAATTAGTAAGTGCCACAAATTATATACGTATATACGTAGGAAAACGTATATCCTATTATGGATATAACTTATATAAGTTTCCTATACTGAAACTTATAGGTAAGTTAAATAAAAATTTAAGATTTTTGTACGAAGCCTTTTAGAGGATATTTTTATATTCGTAAAAAGTGTGAAACGCGGTGAGAGAGACATATCTACATTTAGAGATGAATGATAATATATGTACATATAAGCATGCCCTTCTGTCCGTCTATCTGTTTGTTTCTATGCGAGCAAGTTTCGCAGTTTTCAAGCTATGTAAGTCGGAACTGCCGGTATAAGGCGTCCTATAGCTGCAATGTAACTACTGTCTGCAACCTACTATAGCTGCAATATAATTGATTGATCGAAGTGTTATTTTGGGTGCGTTTGAGAATAGAAAATATTTAAACGCATTTATAAATTAAATAAATATAATTTAACAATTATACAAATATATTTAAAGACTACATCATCTTTGGTTCGGCCAAAGGTTAGCGATTTTTTATTTAATAAACTATTAATATTATTTTATATTATAATAATTATTTATATTAATATAAATATTATATTAATGTTAATAAATACGGATATAGAATGGGACTCGATGGCGACAATTATATGTCGACGCGTTCAATTATAATTGCATAATTATGCATGTTCAGTGAATTTTTCATAATATGGATGGAGCTGAAATTGCAGTGCGATAAAAGCCAAAATTTAATCCCAAAAAAAAATATTGACACATACATGAGACTACGTATGAGAAGTCTCATACATCTTTGTATGAGATTTAACAAAATGTATCGTCGTTTACCATTAAACGTCAATATACTACAGTTTTAAAAAAATGTAAGGCTAAAATCCCCAAACTTGAGTGCGCTTGCACATGTAGTATTGGGCACCCCGGCTACTCAGGTCTCAGATCTGTTGAGAGAGCATTTTTAGCTTTGCAATTTATCCCAAGCGAACGACAAAGGTCAATAAATACTGTAACGAACTGTTCCTACTGCTTCCGCTCGCCACAGTTTGCCGCGGCTAGCTCACAGAGTTTGCGGGTCTGTTCCACCGAATTTATAGTTCAACGTGATTGCCCGAGCCCAGAAAAAATACAAATAGCGAAACATTATAAACTCTTTATTTCGTATGCTCTTCTCAATACAAAAGATCTGATTCTTGATCCCGGGAACGGGCTCCGCTTCGAGTCCTTGCCGCTCCGGCGCTTCCTTCTGGCCGTCTCCGTGGCTCCGACCGCTGACGCTACTCCGTCGCTGCTACCGTCGCGGCTACCGATGCTGCTACCGTTGACGTAGGCCCCCTAAACTTCGCCCTTTCTTTGGCCACAAACAGGCCCTCCTACCTCTCAGAACACCCCCTTGGGTCGACTGCGACTGGTCAAGGACAGCGCTCTTCGGCTCCGCTACTTCAGAGAGTCTGAATTGGGAGTAGGGTGCGGACTGTCGCCTTCTCTACGCCGGGACACGCAGTGCGTATGCACCAGCGAGCCGGGCTTGGAATTCTTCTGGCGACT